TCTGTCTTCTACCTCTTTCTTAACGCACCGTGGGGACCACTTCGTGTGCATTGCGTCAGACAGACAGGGGGATTGAAGAAAAAAAAAAGGGGGAAAAAAAAAAGAACAAAAAAGGAGGACACAAACACACAAACAAACACAAGAAAAAAAAAAGAAAGCACATATTCAGCTTAATCGCACAGAAAGGGTGGCACAAACAAAAAATGAAAAAAAAAGGAACCCCAATATAAAAGGGACAAAGGGAAAAGGCAGGGAAAATAATAATAATAATAATAATAATAATAATAAAGAGGCAAGGGTACTGTCAGCATCTCAACACATTCAATAATACTACAAACAGGTACATCAGGAGGGAAAGTCGACGACGGAAATAACCATGGCTTGTGACACGTCAATTTGGAGGGAAATTGCCTGCTTTTGGCTCTGCCAGCATGCAAACAAACAAACCAAAAAAAAAACGAGAGCAATAGGGATGCAGGGAAGTGTCATATGACCACATGGCACAAGTGTAGACGGAGGGGGGTGAAGGGGGGAGAGACTGACACTTCAGTTAGACGAGTCATGCGCCGACACTTGGCAACAGAACGAGATGACACTCACTCCCCCTCTCTACTCCAGCCAAAAAAAAAAAAAAAAAGAAGACACACACACACGCACACTCACAGACAGAAAGACAGACAATAATAATAATAATAACTCAAAAAAAAAAAAAGGGGCAGACAAACAGAGAGAAAAAAAAAAAAGAGAGAGAGACAGAGAGGAGAAGGTAAAAAGAAAAAAGAAAGTGTGGAGGTAACTGAGGGCGGATGAAAAGAAGGACGACTTTTTTTTTGTTGTTGATGTTGTTGTTGTTTTTCTTCTTGTTGCTAAAAGACACAAATACTCACATATATGTATATATTTATTTACAAAGACAGAAAAAAAAAAAAACGGTTCCATATTCAGCAATAAAAAGAGTGCAATTACACATAAAAACAATATCATTAAATGTGTAACCCAATAAACGCACGCACGCACGCACGCTCGCACACAACAGGGGTGTACGCGCCACAAGGAATTTATGAGAGAAGAATTATCATGTGCATTTTATTTCAGTGAAGCACCTATTTTTAAAGGCACACGGATGTATTATATATTTTTGCATGCGAGAGGGGTGGCAGAGTGAAGGGGGATCGCTCCTACGCCCTCCCTGCGGTGTGACCGAGAACCGCGGGGAGGTGAAAAGAAAACGAAAAAAAAAAAAAAAAGGGAGTTTTATTCCCCCACCACCTCTCTGCCACCCCCCTTTTCCTACACCTCCACCGCCCTCTTTTCTCTTTTTTTTTTTTCTTTTTTTTTGTTCGAAAGGAAATAAAATGAGAAGAACAACAACAACAACAACAAAAATAGTAAAAAAAAAAGAAAAGAAAATCAATAAGCCCCTTTCTTTCGTTCCCGCTCGTAGCCCTCTTCCCGTCCCAATTCCCCCCTCATTTTCTTCCTTTTTTTTTTTTCTCTAAATGCCCTCTCCCTCCCTCCCTCCCTCCCTCTCGCACACTCGCCGTGTATCCCAGCATCGCAAACACAAACAGAAGCGCCAAATTTAAAAAAAAAAACTGAATATGCGGTCGAAGAAAAAGACAAAAAAAAAAAAAAAAACAGTGGAAGAGGGGAAAAAAAAGAAAAGTGATGGGCGTCCCTTCGTCCCCTCCATCCCAAAGACACGTCACTCAGCACTACAAATCTTCTTCCCAGTCGCTTTCAGTTGCATATAAACAACAAAGAAAAGAAAAAAGAGAGAGAAAAAAGAGGGAGAAAAAGAGAGGAAAAAAATGTAATTTTTCTCATTTTATTTATTTTTATCTGAAGAAGAGAAATATAAACAAACAAACAAACAGAAAAAAAAAAAAAAAGACGCTTTGCCACAGTTACGTGAGAGAAAAAAAAAAAAAGAAGGGTGGGAAAGGGATAAAGAGTGTGCTTATTGACACCCCTGCTCGGCCCCAACCCCTTGTGTTTTTCTCTCCCTTTCCGTTTTTTGCTCGCCTCGTTCCTTCACTCCCAATTGAAAGATTTCTCCTTTTCTCATTCTTTTTTTTTTCTTTTTTTTTTTTGGGGGGGGGGGGGAGGGGGCGGAAAGAGTATTCGGATTTCCCTCTTTCCAAAACTCATGAAAAAGCGCGTCGTTGAGCCCGTTCTAGCGCAGCACGCTGGAGCATCGCCTTGATGTCCATGTTAGGCGCCCCCGGAACACAAGAAAGCGGGGAAGATCCAATTGACGGCTGCCTAAAGAAGGGGTTGAGGCACGATGCCACAGCACTCGAACCCTGTTGGTTACGTTTGCGAGCACGTTGTTCCACAAACTGCTGGCCCCCTCCCTCCTTGGCATCGGTATCTGTTTGGTTCTTGTACGACGGACCTCCTACGGCATTTGCGTTGGAAGAGGTTCGGTTACTAAATGGATTGCTGGCAGGGATGTAAGCCGCACCGCCGGCATCTACGTGACCGTGAGGCGGCTCCGGCGACAGTGAAGGGTGCTTTGCACCGTCTACACCTAACTGTGGAGCCTGAGTGGGCTCACTCCGGTTAATCGCATTGTTGGAAGTGATCTGCCGTGGTACAAAAAGAGAGACGCGCGAGCCGTGCCGTCCAGCGCCGGGAATAGCAGCGGAGTTATAACTACCATTGATGTTCTTGTACATTAGATAGACAGGTTGCGTTCGTTTCGGCATCCGCACAGCTCCAAGATAACTGGGATCTGGTGGAGGCTTTTGCATGGGGCCCGAATATGGCTGCAGTTGCTGCTGCTGCGATGGTGGTGGAAGTGGTCTCCGCTGTTGTTGTTGTTGTTGTTGTTGTTGTTGTTGTTGTTGTTGTTGTGGATTTTGTTGCTCAACTGGCTGGAATTTGCGGTGCACCACCGGAAATGAGATCCTCTCAGAACGTCCCGGTAACAACGGTGCTTCCACCGCAGAAATGGGTGGAGCCAAAGGTGCACCTTGAGACACATCCCCTGTAGAGACCAAGGCAGAGACTTCCGCCGTTGCGACATCTGCGCCCTTGGCATTAAACTTTCGTAACGCGGCAATAGCAGGAGGCAGTAAATTTTGCTGCAAAAGAGTTTCAATGTAACTCTTAGGCATCACATCAGTCAGCATCCATTCTTGCATCCGACGTTGAAGAATTGGAAGCTCAAGCAGCTCCTCTAATTTAATGCGGTGTGCCGGCTCCCTATTCAAGAGACGTGGTACAATATTTCGCAGCTCTGTCGTGTACAACTTCGGAACAGGGTCATATTGTACCTTAAGAATGCGCTGCATCAGCCCCTTCATGCTAGTTGCGTTGAATGGATGTTTCAATGCCAAAAGTTCGTAGATTACCACACCAAGAGCCCATACGTCACTGCGGTGATCATAGGGGCGTTCTAATATAAGTTCGGGAGAAAGATAGTACGGGGTCCCCACAAAGGTCCTAGCTTGATCATACGTACCACTAAGTGTCCGTGCGATGCCAAAGTCTCCTAGCTTCAGAATATTCTGGCTTGTCAAAAAGACATTTTGAGACTTGATGTCGCGGTGAAGGATCCTGCGCTGGTGGACATACGAGAGGCTCAGCACCAGCTGAATAATCCAATCAAGTACCTGAGACTCACGAAAGTTGACACCATACGACTTTTTTATGCGTGCACTCAGGTCTCCGCTATCGGCAAATTCCATGACGATACAAAGATGATCCGACTTCTTCAAAAGAAAACTATCTACATAATTGATGATGTTCGGATGTCGTAGAGAACTCAACAGATGCGCCTCATTGAGACTCTGTTGCCGCTCCTTCTTACTCATCCTTCTGAGATCTATTTGCTTAATCACGTAGCACTTGCCGTCCTCGTTGTTGCGAGCAAGGGCACAGGCACCCATGTTACCCTTGCCAATTTGCCGCACCTTGGTGAACTTCTCCATTTCTCTTGACTACACGTCCTTCCAAGCCACACACACACACGCACACACGCCGTGCAGGGAAGAAAGAACGACTCGACTAAAAAAAATAGGGTTTTAACGCAACAACAACAAAAAAAAAAAAAAAAAAACTGAGGTGGTCACACCTCGAGTGTACTACAAATGATGCTTTTGTTGTTGTTGTTTTCTTCTCTCTTGTTCTTGTTTTTTGTTTGTGTGTGTGTGTGTGTGTGTATGCGTTGTAGTTTGTTTTTTTGCCTTTTGTTCTGCACGTTGGCGTGAGAAGAGAGAAGAAGCGGGGGCGGGGGGAAGGGTGAGGCACAAGACACGCGGCACCCACACACCTCCTCCTCCTCTTCCTCCTCGTTGACTCGGCCCTATCCCTTTTGCACCCAACGCGAGCACGCGTACACTCCGGGACCCACAGAAAAGTGAGCCACGGGAGCGGGGGCGAAAAAAGAAAAAGAAAAAAAAAAAAAAGGAGAACACACACGCACAAGTATGACGGGTGCACTCCTACCTAAATGCATGAAGAACAACAAGAAGAAAAAAAGAAAAAAAAAAAAAACAGGAAAAAAAGAGACAAATACTTCAAAAAATAAATAATAAGGAACCAAATGAAAACAGTCCACACAAAAGATATACACGCATGCATGTATGTATATGTTGTATACGTCATGGATACGCGTAAATCACTTGTGGCAGGGGTATTACGTCCTCTCACATCCGTTCATACATTTCCTAAGAGAGAAGGAGAGCGGCCAAATCCAATGCATGCATACTTGTGAGAAATGCATACACGCCGGCACGTTCAACAACAACAAAAAAAAAAAAAAAAAGAAGGAACGACGCAGAATGTCCCGCCACCAACGCAAGATACATGACAATAATGATGATAATGATAAATAAGGACAATAAGAAAGTGCACCTCCTTGTTTTTGTTGTTGTTGTTTTGCCTCAAACGCACAACACGACAGCCCACACACACAAACACACACAGAAAGAGACACAAACAAACAACAACAACAAAAAGAAGGAAAAACTTCTCCCAAGATGTTGTTACCCCCTTTTTTTTCTGTTTCGTTTTGTCGTTCAGGCCCTTTAAAGCCCAGACGGAAAAAAAAAAAAAAAAAACTTCCCGTCCAATTGGGAATTTTTTCATCCTCCTTTCTCACCCCGCAAAAACATTTAGTTCAGCACCAACTGCATCAGGGCAAGGAGCGAAAAGAGGGGAATCATCGCCATGCAGTGGGTGTGGAGAACCAACCAGAACGCAATGAAAGTCCAGCCCGCAACATGAGCACAGTTGTGGCCGTTGTAGCCCAGCGTCGCGTAGCCGCAGCTCCAAAGCATCAGGCACAAAGAGATGATACCAGACATGACACGGTTCACTACCGATACGGTCGACTGCTCGGCGGCTATCCAATGCCGCATAAATAACTTGCCTGGCACCACAGCAGAGACGGGACGATTATCTTGCAGGATTCTCAGCGACTCCTCCTCCTCTCTTGTCAATTTTCTCAAAAAACACCCTGAAAAGTCATGCTGCGTCTGCGCGTGATGGCCGTGACGCAGCGCGGCAGTCAGCGCCAGCGTTGGGCCTCGCACGGCAGCACGACTCACAGGGAAAACTCGACGAAGCATGTTGAATCTACCTTTCTGCTTGTTTGTTGTTGTTCTTGCGCTCTCCTCTACTTCAGTAAGGGGCGGCTCCTTCTGCCCTTTGGTATTCGTTTCCACCTGTCGGAGCGGGAAGAGACAAAAAAGGGAGTAGAAAAAACAAGCAACCGAGTTGAGCCCTCCCAAAAGTCATAACGCGGGCCTTCACTTCGCCACGCTTCTCGCGGAAATGCCCCGCGCCAAATAAACACAAGAGAAGAGGCCCCCAATCGATGCCATCGGGAAGGAGGGAAATGTAAGAGGAGGAGGGGGAAGGGAAGGGAAGGGAAGGGACTCAACCAAAGGGGAGGGCAGCGAGCACACGTCTCCACGAATTCGTTGAATCCCAAAACCCTCCAGCCCGTATCGGCGTTTCTGCCGTGGCCCGCGACAGTACTCACATCGACTGATGATCAAATTTATAGAGGCATTATGGCACACAAAAAAATAGTAATAATATAAAATATATATAATAAATAAAGACAAGACACACCAAAAAATAATAATAATAATAATAATTTAGATAAATAAATAGGGTGACCGTCCATGCGGCTTTTCATTCTTCACTTTCTTTTCTTTTACACCTATCCCTTCTCTGCTCCCCTTCCATTCCCTCCGCTCTGTCGCTGCATCGTCACGCTACGGCCCTCATGCCCTTTCTGGCAAACAGGTGTTTGATGAGGAGAACGTGCAGGAAGGAGAGGAGCAAAATAAACAACGTCTCAGCAGCACCTTGCAAGAGTAGGAGTGTTTTGCTCTCCTCAATAGTCTCGTGCAAATTTCGCTGGCGCAGTCGGAATATGATCTGATCTTGATGAAGGCCCAACATGAAACTGTCTGTCCGCAGCATCATCCTTGTAAGAGGATCAATGCGGTCCTTCCATCGCTTCAGGGAAGTCACACCGATGCTCATCGTTACAGATTTCCTGCTGCCAGAGTACGGGCGGTTGTCAATGCAGTAGGAGTACTCGCCATGCAAGTGCTTCGTGAAGTACACGCGGTCCTCCAACTCATGTTCCCCCGCATACGACACGTAAATCGTCTTGTTCTTCGGGTCTCGGATGCTCACATCAAAATCATCGCCCCCATGCAGCACGTGGTAGTGCAGCATCGCACCTTCATTCGTGTCGATGCCCACGGAGTACATGCACAGCTCCTCCTGATTCACCTCAAGCGTAAGGTCTTGGGTATTCGAGCGCACACGAACAGCCTGCGTCGTATCGAGCACAGTCAACACTATGGCCACAGCCACCAACTGCAAAAACATACAAGACGATCGTGGGAAGCACGACATTGCCCCCTGGATGGGAATCATTCGCAAGAAGATATAATAAAACCCTCTCTGCCTGTAAAGATTAAAATAAACTGAAAGGACTACACAACGACATGGAAAAGAAAAAAAAAAATAAAAAATACATTTACATGTGAACGTTCATGTTACGTACAAAATGCCGCGGTGAGAAATTTATCCAATTTCAGTTCCCATGGATGGGCAAGGAAGAGAACTCCCTGGGATGACCACTCTCTAAATGCAGACCCCCGTGGATTGCACACACGCACACACACACACACACACAGAGAGAGAGAGAGAGACAAAAATACGCCCATTTTTTAATCCATATACAAATCAAAATAAAAGCAAATAAAAGCAAAGAATGAGTACATCTTTTTTCAGTTACATCTACGCATCACTTGTAACGAATGAGATATTTATCAGCAACAAAGCGTGGGTGGGAAACATCCATAAGGTATTCATCGCTCTGCACACTGACCGAAGACAAGGACGCCTCTCGCCCCTCCGCAATGGCCATGCTCACCAACTTCATCTGACGCTCCAAATGTGTGCCGCCACAGTCACTTTCTGGTGGTGTAGGTAACACTTCTGACCACTTAATAGAACCATTCCACTCAACCGCCGAGACACAACGCTTCAGGGTGGAAATGCGATTTATCTCATTGCGGAAAGCCGCCACAGGCACTGTGTGCGTCGGCATGACATTCCCCACCGTCAGTCGCACCTCATCACAGAGCGCAGAGACCTCTGGAAGAACCAATGCAAAAATATCTGTCAGCGACGCAAGCATCAAATCAATGTCTGTAACTGAAATAACACTGTCATCGAGCACACGCTCATTCAATACCCTCCTGCACTGCACAGCTATCTGCACCTCTGCAGGCACAAAAAGAAGACTTGCACTGGCGAGAAATTCCTTAAACTCCATCGAGCCCTTTCCACCCCAATCAAAAAAGCGAAACAGATAATCAACATCACCTTTCCAGAGCGTCTTTTCATCAAAAATGCAACTTAGCAAAAAGAAGAGCTCCTGTGATGTCACCGTTCGCATTCCAACCCGACGTCCTGTCTCTTCCATAAGTTGCAGCACCCTCTCTTGACCTATCTCTAGCAGCCGTGACACAATCGAATTATTTCGCAGAAGAAGCTCAGAAAGTATGCGGGGGGAAAGACTCAGCAACGCCCGCGGAGATCGCTGGGCCAGAGATGGCGTCGCGTCCATTGATTTTGGGGTAAAGCTTCTCTGCGGTAAGCCACCCGTGTCGGCATCTAAAATGGGGCTCTCCTGCCGCCCTTCGTTCGGAAAGACGGGGGTGGTACGAAGCTGGTACCGCAGAGAACTTTCAAAATTATTCAATTCTTTCGCAGTCTCCGCCGCCTCCATGAGAATTCGCGTGGAATTCGCCATGAAGGTTGGCACAATGTCTTTTTTTGGGCCCCGTGAAGCCTTTTTTGCCAATGCGCCGTCACAAGAAGAGGTACCGAAGTCCGCCGTATTTAATTGGCGCAAATTGCAAGAGTGTTGCTGCTGTTGATCCTGTGGCTCGAGACGTCGGTACGGTGGTGGCGGTGGCTCGTGCATCACTGACCACACAGTGCGTTGAGAGCTCACAGAGTTCACGGGGAACATAGTTGGCGTTGTTTGCATTCGCGGACCAGCGCCCCCCTAAAACCCGACGCACTCTGCGCACTCCTCAAAGAAGGTCGCCTTGGAAATCGCCACACACGCAACCACAGGGAGAATATGCGAGTTGGATGAAGTCCTGTCTCCTATTCCTGCAGAGAATAAAAAAACAAAAGAAGATGGTGACAAGTTGGTTCAGTGTGCACGGCATCCCGCATGCAGAAAAAAAAAAAAAAAAAGAATCTCACACTCAAACTCACATGAATAATAATAATAATAATAAATTCAACACCCACCATCTACGATAACGCGGTGCGTCGTAAACTCATGGATTGGCAGCCTTTTGTTTCCCGCAACCACCGGCTTCCCTCCCTCCGCGTGGAGGGCAATAGCGGGTGGGATGGCAGAAGGAACAAAAGGAACTGCACTCGCGCTACCCTCCCACGCAACATCGTTGGAAACAAAAATGGATCCAAGTCACAAGCGGCAAAAAAAAAAAAAGCGAGGCAGGGATGAGTAAAACCCTCATCATCATCTACTGAGCCGCGTCTGGTCGCACATGCCTTCTAATATCAGTTGGGGAGAGAGAGAGAGAGAGAATGGGGAACACTTTAATCGCTGCACGCAGGAATAAGAAAAGAAAAAAGAAAAGAGAAGGCAACCGCATAAAAGGTGCGGGGTGAGTTGCAGCAAAAAAAAAAAAAAAAAAACCACCAGAAAAAGGAAAACGTACGCAGCCGTCTGCTGTCTGAGCCAAAAACGCATGGAATGTATCGTGGTCATCCTAACATCCCTATTCCTCTGAACAAAGCAAATTATTTTTAATTCGTTAAGTTCAAATGTTGATCACTGAAATATCATTTATTCATTCTTGTTTTTATTTCCTTTTTTCTCCCCCTCTATCTCTCTCCCTTCGCATTCCTCCCAAATACACAAAAACACACACAGACACACATGCACACTTTTTATCCTCCGAAAACCCAACGAAAAGAGAAATGTCTCAAACACGTACCTCTCACTTTGATCTTCTCGACAGTGTCTTCTCGGCCTGACGCAACGTCTGTGAAAGTTTTTTGCCCTCAGCACTAGAGAGCACCGTCTTCGACACCGCGCACACCTCCAGCAATGGCTTCGTGACGGCCGCCTTGAGGTCTGCGGGGTGCAACGCGCCTGACTGCGCATCGTCACGAAGCTGTGCTTCGCTCGTGTACGCCACGTTACCTCCATTCTCCACCGCCCTCTCTACTGTCAGCGTGCCACGCTCACGCAGGAGCCACGCGGCAATGGAAAGAACCGGGTTCGCTGCCTCGTTGGGTGCACAATAGGCTTTTTTAATCTTGCGTCGCGTATCCATGTCCGTGTCGTCAAGAAACAGGACGTCGTCAGCACCAGCAACGGGTGCCTCCGGGCGGTGGAGAGGCGGAACTGTCCCTTCCCTCGTGGGGATGGCCGTGACACGACCATCAAAGAACTCCTTCACAACCTCGTGGTAGCCACGCTCATGAGACGCGGAGATAATGTGGGTTGCCTTCAACATGGCCACATCTGCCACGTACATGAGAGCCGCAACCAAATCACCGGCAGTTTTAAATTCCCCGCAGACGTCCCCCAAGTACTGCAACATGTTGCGCCGACCCGCGTTAATAGCTGCCACCCAGTAATCATTGGGATTGTCCAGAATAAGTTGGCTCTGGCGCACGACACGCACACCTTCCTTCCTCAAGTAAGTCGCCTGCAGGAGCGCAAGATTCAACTCGAGTGCAGCGTTGATATTCTTCTCTTCGCCCGTCACCTCGCCACACGAAAAGGCCGTCCACTCAGGAAGAAGAAGAACGACTTCTCCATCGGAGTGCTGCTCCAGAAATGCCTTGACCGCATCAGAAATGGCGACAGCAATATTTACAGACAATTTTATCACCGCTGGCAGCCAAACAACAGCCAGTGGCGTTTCCGACTGCTCAAACGGACCTATATCTGTCAACGGCGGTGCTGACCACCTTTCCGAAAGGACTTTACTTTTTCCAAAAGTTCGGCCGCGTGAGGATCACATGCAAAGTGATGACGCAC